GATACCATTTTGTCATATTTATTTATAATAGTTACGGCACCGGACCGGGTTATACAGTTATTATTATACAGTTATTATTATTTATTATTTATGTCTCCTTAATTCCAACGATGTTTTAGCAAGTTTGAGTTAATTCCGATTTCCTACTTCCGAGTTCCGTCGTTTTATTCCTTCCGGTTTCCGATTTCCGAAATTTTGGAAAAATTTCCGATTACCGACAATTTTTGAAGCATATTTCCGACTAGTGATTTATCAAATATTTTCAAAATTTCGTCTGCGGCGCTGGAAATGATGTCTCCGTAATCTCTCGGTCTCCCTAATATTCGTTCCTAATATTCGCTCAATTTAAGCAAATATAAAATTTAAATTAAAAATAGCAAATTTATCTCTGTGGTTAAATCAAGTAAAAAAAGTTTTTGTTAAAAGAAGAGAAGTTTTTTAAAGTTATAATAGCTTTCATTGTCCTCGTTAATTTGTGTAATATCTCTATGATCGCGAAAATGGGGAGTTATCACTTTAGTAAAATGGTTCATATAAACTTGAAGAGAGCTACTATTTATGTTAACAATGTTGAGTTAATCCAAGTTAGACCCTAAATATGCTAAAACGTTTGTATGAAAATCACAAAGAATCTTAAAATCTGTGGACATTGTAAAGAAGAGTTGTATTTTAAATTTTAAATTAATTTAGTGTTATGTAAGGATGAGGTCGGTTACCTGATTTAAAAGGATACAGGAGTTAAGCATTAGTCGTTGCCCCCAATAGCTGAGTAGTAGAGGTATGTGGTGAGCGAAAGCAATGACTTTCAGGAAGGTCGCAGGTTCGAATCCTCTAATGAAGTGAGAAAAATAGCTCAAAGATAAATCCCAAAGGACATGTTGGTATCACGTGGTATAATGGATAACACACTGAAGGAAGACTGAAGGATAATTCTCCTGCCTTAAAAACTTTTAATAATATGCTGCATTAAGGAATGCTCTGTTTGAAAATTTAATGTAGCGAGTAGCAAATAATACTATATAAATTTTTAAAAATAATTTTAAATGGGGCCCTGGGCAAGCTTCTTGGGCAAGCATCTTCCATTAACGCACGCCAAGAAAATGCCATTGCCTCTTTTTTGGCAATTTTTCCAATAATACACGTATAATAACAAAATAGTGTATATACAGACGATAAAGCAAAAGACTCGCATATAGGCACTCCCTTATAGGCACTCAGGCCTCTTATAGACACGCAAGAATGGAGAGAGTTACAGCTATTTTTTTACACACGTCGGAGACATAGACGTCTCCCTTTCTGGCAATTTCTCAATTAAAGACTTGCCGAATAAAGAAGATAAAGTCGATAAAGCAATATAATTCAATATTCAAGAATAAATTTGTATAATTTTAAATAAAAGTTGATAGTCAATTGAAGTCTTTCCGGCGGAAACGGATAAAATAATATGGAAAAGGAGATATAATTGAAAAGGAGACCATAAAAAGATTTTCTAGTCAACACGGTTTTTTTATTTAATGTTAAAAACACCATTTTTGGACTTCCCACGTCAAGGCATATCCGCACACAAAACATGTATTTGCATGTGTTGTCAGGCCCTATTTATAAGATATAGGCTAAAAATTGAAAAAAATGCATGATTTAATTTTAAAAATGAAAATGTAAGGATTATATGGTGTTACGACAATTGCGGCTACGCACGTGCGGATGCGACAATTGCGGATTAAAATTTTTTTTTAATTTTAAAAATGATTGAAATGATGTTCTGTTTTTTAGTCCCGGCTGTCAGTTTCCGACTTCTGACGGTTTCCGGATCATTTTAGACTAATGTGGCACTTAAAACTTTAAAAAATCTTAAACTTTTTAAAAATTTTAAATCTGCAATCGTCGCATCCGCATGTGCGTATCCGCAATTGTCGTACCGCCGATTATATGGTGTTATAGTTATGCTTTGACGGGATATAATCAAAGAATCGAACTATGTATAATCAAAGAATCAAAAAGTATTTTTTAATTTTCAAATTTCTTTATAAATTAATCCTTGCGCAAAATAATTTTTTATTTTCGATCATTTTGTTGAACATTCAGACAATACGGTTGTGTGGATATCAGTTGGAATTAATAGTTTATTAGATATTTTTCCCATTCTGCTAGGATTTTTTTAGAATTTTAAAATTTGTCCAAAATTACAACTCTTTCTCTCGTTATTCCATTCTCATCCAAATAAAATTCATAACTTCCTTCCTTAAAAAGCGGAGTAATGCTGGCAACAGATTGCATATTTGGATAATATTCTTCATTATCTTCATTATGTACATTCATTTGCCCATCTTCAAGATCATCTATCTCTGTTTTTAATATATCAATTAATATGTGCCGTCTCAAACTTTTCAAAACTTTTTATACAAATTAGAAATTTTCTGAAATACTTTGAACATACATCTGTCTTCGTTTGTTTTTTTAATTTTAACGTAGAATCTAAGCCATCCAACTTCATAACGATTTATGACATAAACAAAATAATTTCCCGGATTTTCAAATTTTAAACAAATTTCAATGTGAGAATAATCCATTCTCATTTTATTAATACTTGTTTTTAATGAAATCGACTCGATTAAATTAGCCTTGCTAAAATTTTCTCTTTTTAAAATTTTGCTAGGCCCTTCCGGGTTCAAAAAACATATTAATTTTGTCAACTTTGCATAATTATTTTTATATGTCAGTAACATTGATTTTATTCCGTTTATATCCATTTCTAGACCAGGATCTTCAGCAGAAGTTGCTAGATCTTCTTCTGTCAGTTTATTTAACTCCAAATCGCATTTTTGAAAAAAACATAGGCTTTAAAGTTATTAACTAAAAATTGAAAATTTAACACTTGTGTACCGAGACCCCTAACTTACCGCCGAGCTATAACTTCATTCAAAATTGTTATGTCTTCTTATGGTTCGATGCGGCTCGAACAGCTGAATCGGTCCACACCATTGCGCCACGGATTCGACAATTTTGAACAAAGTTATAGCTCGGCGGTACGATGGGCTCGCGGTACATTGGCCTGTTCCCATTGCAGGCAACGTTAAATTTGATTTGCTCCCGTCTTCCGCTCTTACGCTTCCGTATTTCGTCATCCGTTTTTACTTAGTATATTTTCCTCCGTTTTTAGTTTCATCGGCTTTGCAGATTCCGCTTTTATAATATGCTAGACGTTAAAAGGCTCCCGGACAATGCGTCAGTGGACAATGCGTGAGTGGAAAATGCGTCAGTGGACAATCGGTCATTGATGATATAAAGTGATTAAAAGTGATGATATAAAGAGATAAAAATCCACTGATATCTCTCCAAATCGAATGAACTCCATCCTAATCCAACCTAACAAATTAATATTTCTTTAATCCTCCCAAACCCGTGATATCGGCCTTAATCCCAATAAATTCCTCTATATCTCTTTTAAACCCCCAAAATCAACTTTTAAATACTCTTATCTGTTTATATCCCATCTTTAGTCCTTTTATATCACTTTTTATCCCTTTACATCATCACTTTTAATCACTTTTTATCAATACTGACCGATTGTCCACTGACGCATTTTCCACTCACGCATTGTCATGACACGGTTAAAAAAGCAATTTATTTTACCTTTCTATCAATCTCAAAATCATCATCGTCATATTCTTTTAAACAAATATTTATTTTCATTATTTCTGAATACCAGAACACATCCTCAACCAAAATTAATTTTTCCCTTTCTTTCCATTAATTATACTATTTATTTCATGTGTTGTTTCGTTAGAGGTACTACAACCGTTTAAGTACGAGCTTGAACTTGTATAAACATAATCCTTCTCATTTTTCTCATCAATTTCGTATAAAATTGCAATTTTATACGGTTCAAATTCTTCTTCATTTTTATTTACTTCCATTCTCAACAAATTTATTTTGACACTTCCATCCTTGTTTTTATTATTTTTTGTTGATTTAACCAAAATTCGTTGATTATTTTTATAATCAGAAAAAGAGTAATCAAAAAATATTAAAAATAATATTTTAAAAACAAATATAAATTTAATAGAAAACATTTTTCAAAATTTATTTTAATTATATTCGATAGCCTTTTATACTAAAAAGTTGTTAAGGAAAGTTAATTTGTTAATTAAAAATTATTTCATAAATGCACTTTAAGGACAGTAAATAATTTTGATAAACAAATATTTTGTGTATTTTAAACAATTTTAAAATAATTTCCGACAAAATAGGGAAAAATTTTACGAGTGTACTTAGTGGAATAATGAATAGTGTTGACCGGCATTGCGACCTAAAATCGGTATCGGTATTTTGTAATGATGATACCGATACAGGCTCGGTATCGGTATCGGTAAAATCGGTATCGGAGTCGATACCGCCCAACTCAAGTAATGAATATATGTATACTATGTATATTTACTTATTATTTTGTAACAAATTTTGTGAAAAATTTTCCCCTTATTTATCAAAATTTCTTTGTAATTTTAAGAAATAAAAAATTTGTTTATCGAAATTACTATTACCCTTAAAGTACAATTACAAAATAATGTGTGTTAAAGTACAATTACACACTATGTTTACATGCTATCAAAGAGAAGTTGTGCTTGGCAAAAAATGGGCAAGCAAAGCTTCTGAAACTTGGCCGACATGGGCAATTTTATTTTTTGTAAATATTTTTAGTGAATTCGTTTTGAATTTTTTCAATTTTCTTTATTTGATATTTAATTTTTGGGGTCCACATTTCAGTTGCATATTCTAGCTGGGGTCTTATATAAGTTTAATATATTAAAGAGATTTAAGTCTCTAGATTTAATGATACTTGTTATTTGGAAACTTTTTAGATATGCATTTTTTATAATCATATTTATACGGTTATTAAAATAAATTTTAGAATAAATTAAAATTCCAAGATCGCGAATGCATTCTGTTTCTTGTATTTTTAGTCAGTTTTTTTAAAAAGACAGTTTTAGATTTATTATTTTTTATTTATTATCATTCCCCATCATAGAATTAAATTCTAAAATTTTCTGCTGTTTAAAATCCTCCCCATTTTTTCTTGATTTTTTCGCAATATCTTTTATTCCTTTCAAAAACTCGTTACTTTCCATTCTTCTTATCTCATATTCTTTTTCAATATTAGCTTTATATTGTTTATATCTTCTTTTATCGATATAATTTTTTCGACGATTAGCCTGAAGAGATTTATTTAAACTATTAATGAGCTTCTGAATTTCTTCTTTTGTAGTAGTTCCATTGATGTTCTGTTCCCTTTGAGCGGCCGTTTCTTGAAAAGGCACTTCTATGTTTGATTTTCCATCTCCTCTCATTTTTAATCTGCTAGACATAGGGAAATCTCGAGAACCACGTTCACCACTTCCTTCGCCTTTTTGACCGTCATATATATCAACCTGCTTTCCTTTACCCTTACTCACTCCAATTGCATTGTAACTTTTATGGCGATGAAAAGGTAATGATTTAACTGGTTTAGCATGTTTTTTAACAGTTCCAGGTAAATTATATCCAGGAGGAACTAAATTATAAAAATGTTTTATAGCATATTTAGTGACCTGAAAGATGCTGATTAAAATTACAAGGTTGATTAAATTGTATATTGCCAGCTCCGCTATCCGGATGACCTCCTTAATTTTATTTATTTTTAAAAATTTATTTAAAATTTAACCAAATGAAATATTTTGTCCATGTTGAAAGTAACTAAAATTAGGTGCTCTCTCATCACCTTAAATGTTTTTGGTATTACATTATAACATCCTTTTAACAGGAGCTAGTCGACGTTTTGTCCAAAGGTCGACGTTTTGTCCAATCCCACGTGGTGCCCCGTATCCCACGTGGTGCCCCGTATCCACCAATTTGAATAAAGTTTTTTAAATTTATTAAAATATTAGTGAGAGAGAACCGGCAAACTTTTGGTCGGAATCAAGAAATTTGATCGATTGATATTTGCCCTGTTATCTAGACGGAGTCTTTTACGAGGTCTAGAAATGATCGAAATTAAGGAATGAGGTGGAATGAGGAAATTATGTAATGCGGTCCAAAATATTTTAATTTACCATCGTAAAGCGTTCGGATATTCTTATCGCTGGATTGAAAATTTTGTCTAGGAGTTAAGATAACGGGTCGAATAAATTGTTGAAGTCGATCACTGTATTCTCTAGTCGTTCCATGACTTTGATTATCTAAAAGGAGATTTTATATTGTAGCTGTCTACATCCGAACGATAAGTGTTAGCGTTCGGTATACTTCGAAACAGATGCAATAATAAGGTCATAGATCTGGCTGAGGTTTAAACATTTTTTGGGTTGGGAAAATGTTAAATTTTAATAAGGATGTGGCGTAGGATATGGAGCAAAAACAGAAGAGGCATATATGGTTTGTTGTTGAGAATTTGGTTGAAAATTTGGCGATTCACTCGGATGTTTTCATTATAATTGAGCTTTAGGGTTTAGTTATCAACGAATTATTTTCGCAATATTTTATCTTTACAAAATTTTTTCCTTAAAACCTCATACCCCTACCCGTACCTCGACCATTTTGCTCCCCGCCACGGAACAACTGACACATCCACCCCCAGGCGTTTGAAGTACAACCCTAATTTATGTATATAATAAATCTTCAATTAATATTTATTGGGTTAATTAATAACAAACTTTGTGGAGGAGAGATTCTAGGACGTGGAGCAAAACCAGGAGGAACATCCACTTCCTTTTCTTGAAAAATTGTTAGAGAATTTGGTCGAGTATTTGATGAACCTTATGTAATATTTTCAGGTAATTAACACAAAAATTTAAATAAAATTTTAATTTATCACCTCCATTAGTTTTAGGTTCCACGCAAAATGTTAAATCAAATAAATTTAAAATAAAGAAAAGAAAAATAACAAAATTTGACAACTCCATCCCTTAAAAATTAAAATTATTTTAGAGTTTCTTAGCTTATTTTCAATAAATATTGTATTACTCAATAAGATGGGGGTCCTTTGTTATTGTAAATTTTGTCTATTTAATGTCTAGACAGCCAAAAAATAAATAAAAATATCGCCCAAAATAAAATAATATTTCAAAAATATTTAATTTTATGATGAAATTTTTATTTAATATATTATTAGCTCAGTTCTAAAGCTTTAGATGCTAAAAGAGATTATATTTTTCAACCTAAAACTCTACCTCAGGAAAGCTCTCTAATATAAGCACAACATACAAGAGATTGATAATAGGTGATAGTACTCGAGAATTTACGGTAATATTCACAATATAAGCCACTATAGACGTTTAATTATTTACAGACTACATTAATAGATCAAGAGCGAAGTAAATAATTAATAGAATATGGTGGGAAATGTCGTTAACGTAAAGTGCAATTCTTAGAATATTTCCTAGACAAAGAGACAACTAAATTTTTTGAAATAAAAAGTTTAAGATGATGTAATAATTAAGCTTTAATGAATAAGAGATGTGGAGAAGAGATTCTCTTTAACTAATGTGGCAGAATTTTAAAATATTTTCAAAAATTTCCAAATAATTTTCGACCCGTCATAATTAATCTCAATGCTGCAGCAATTTCGTCTCACAAATTTGCACGAACGGGGATTTTGTTTCCAGTCAATTTTGAAAGGATTGTTGGACGATTTGCAACCGTTAATAATAAAATTTTTTGATTTACAAAAAAATCCTTCAAATTACATTGCACTTCCAATAAATGTAGGAGCAATTGTTTTAGTAAAGATTGATGCGTCTGAAAAATTTTTAAAATTTTCAAAATTTTATAATTTTCCATATAACCTTGTTTTCCCTCCAAATCCACTCCCAAAATATTTTTGGCTGTTTTGAGCTACTCTGAACATCCTCTTCTCCTAGCATTAAAATGTCGTCTGGGAAAAAATTTATAATTTTCAACAGAATTTTAAAATATTTTCAAAAATTTCCAAATAATTTTCGATTACCATAAACATAAGCATTATTTTTATAAACTGTACGTGCTGGAACAGGATGAGGTGTCATAGTCTTTTTTGGTGGATGAAAAAATTCAGGCGGAGTTCCATCACACCGCATGACTAGTTTCGCTATATTTTACTACAAAAGAATGATTAAAGTCGATATATATTTATATTATAAATTTACGAATCTTTATAACAACGGATAAACCTTGGAAGCAACTTTAATTCATTTACAGATCCTTTTTATTTTCAAAAAATAAAAAAATATTAATTAAAATACATATTCATCATTAAAGGACGCTTGATTTTTTTGATGTATTTTGATTAAATAAATACATAATAGCTATTTTCTCTAAATAACAGCCGGCGACTTTATATTTCGATATTTATAATAGTGCGTGCCTCTCTATTGAATGCGGCTGTCAGGAAGATAAGACCGCTCAATTATAGAAAATAGATTTGTTTCTAAAACTGACGATTTTATCTGAAGATTTTATATCGATGACACGTTTTGAAATTTAATTTGAATCAAAATGACTGTTGTAGCCCCAATTTTAAACAAACCTTGAAAATGATTTTGTGATTCTGGATTCTATGGACAATGTTTTTTTACAATGGTTTAAGTCTTCCTGTTTATACAAAAACTTTATTTAAGAGGAATTTTATGCCGACAAAAAGAAACGCTCATTTATTTAACATGAGATTCTCTAAGAAACGCTCGCATATTTCCACATACATGCTATAATTGCGTGAATGTAGAGGGAATAACGAAGAGGGAATCACGAGAGGATGGAATCGCGGGAAAGGAGGGAAGGAGGAGGGAATCATGAGAGGAGGGAATCGCGGGAAAGTAGGGGGGAATCATGAGAGGAGGGAATCATGAGGGTTTATTTTTAATTTTCAAAGGGCTATCATTTTTTCATGAGGGATAGGGCAAATAATAATAGCTATTTGATAGTCAATAATTATGTATTTTTAATATTATTTTCATTTAAATGTTTATTAATGAATAATATTCATAAAAACATATATATTTAAAAACATATATGTATATATCGAAGGTTTAACTCCGAATTCCGTTTTCTTAGAATTCAGGGCATACCGTCTGATTCTTAATCTTATCGCGTTTATTCTTTATCCCATCTTTTAAATTCAAATAAGTTTAAAATAAAATTATTTCTAGACATGAGATTAAAGTTTCCATAGCGTTTTCATGAGATTGGGTTTGACATTCCAGTTAGGTTAGCGGCTTTAATTGGATTAAATTTTAATGGGATTACACGCCTTATTCGTCAACATTTCACAATGAAACTTAATTTTACAATCCAAGGTTCCGTTCGGGCGTTATAAGGCCTATTCAAAAAAATTTTCTTTATAAATGGCTAACTTCAATTTTGTCTATAGATCCAATACCACAGCAACTCATATTTTCTTTCAAGAAATTATTGAAGAGTTCATTAAAAATTTCTTCTTTTCTGTAAAGCAAAACTGCTCGCCCTGCTTATTCCCATCGTATTGTTCCTAGTAGAACGCGTTTCTAAAATAAACACAAGTGTTTCTATTAGGAACAATAAGGTAACCAAATATATTTAGACTAAAAAAAGATGAATTTGTCAATTTTGACAAGCTTCCTTTTTTCTTTTTTCAATCTATTTTATTTGACGGGAGGAATGTATAGAGGAAACAGGCAAGGTAATTTGAAGAACATTTTAATTATTTGCGGAATGCTATTATAATCTTGATAGGAGGACATTTTTGTGGGTTAAAATTTAAATAGGATATGAACTAGATATTTAAAATATTCAGGGGTTTAATTCACTGGAATTACTGCAACCAATATTCTAAGATATAAAATTAAGGCGTTTATATTTACTTTTATAATTACGTTTATATTTACATATAAGGTACTATAAGTTAAACGAACAAAATGTTTATAAACACAAATTTTTAATGCTTAGCTTATAATTTTTTATATAAGAGCACAACTAATCAGAGTAGATCAACGAGAACCTAAATAAGCCCCAAGGATCATTATGAATTAAAATATTATCCATCATAGCGAATCTTACTTCAAGGCTTATAACATAATAAATTATAAAATTTGAGGCTATGGCTACAATGGAGAAGGATCGGTCCCTCCGCGCAATAATCAACCTAATCGACAACGAGAAGGATTACCTCGGGGTTATCAGCATTATGGATTTAACCGCGATGAAGGACCTACTCCGGCTGAATTGGCATTATTCTACCGTCATCAAAATTTTAATCGAAACCATCATAACGGGAATGAACGTATTTATTAAATTTTTATTATCTTATATGTAGAGATTGCTGGTTATTGGATTAAAAATGCTATCTCCTGTTAACGATATTATCTAGAGTTTGATCCTATTTATGCTTAAAATACAGACAAAACTTTAGAAAATATTCTAGCTTCAAAGATAAGTGTAATATTTGTTGTGTCAGATAGATTTTCAGGTTTACCATTGTAGATGACTAAACTAGAATTATTAGACAACATAGGCCGACTGAATCTATTTTCAGTTGTTTTACTCCCAATCTTGAATAGGATTGTCGGTTTCAAACATAACCGAACCGAAACACTGAAGCTTTTCGGCTCGGTTTATTGATCGGTGTTAACCGAAGAATTTTATGAAACAGACAGCCCTAATCTTTAATCAACTTAGGATTATTTGCAGGAGCAGAAGTAATTGAACACTCATACCCTGCAAGTGATGATGAAAGTGAAAATAACACTACAGGAAACAACAATTTTGGTATTTAAATATAAATTTTGAAAATTTTTATGTTAAATAGTGTTCTCGCAAAATTTTACTTTACCGAATTACTGAGCTAAAAGACCGTTAAGAATGGCATCATTAGGGTTCGTTAATGAAGTAATACCTAAAGTATAAAATTTAAGGTTATGGCAACCGTGAGGCTAACCCAGGTTATGACCGCCCTAGTGGAGGAAATGCTCATAGACAGCCTGGAGGGCCATCAGGCAATAGCCGACATGGAGAAGTATCAGGTCATGGCTTTTATGAAGGAGGATCAGGCTATGGCCACTCTGAAGGGCAATCGGGTCATCGAAGCCATGGAGAATCAAGTTATAGTCGCGATGGGCACGGATCAGGCTATGAACGCCATGGAGGAGGATCAAGTTATCGCCGCGATGACGAAGGATCTGATGATGAAGCGAATGATGATCATGGATTTTCTTCATGAAAATGCAGCATAAGAACATTCGGAAAGCTTTGAACCATTATATACATAGTCTAGCACGCAATTTCTGTACGTGTTGCATATACATTATGAATGATACTGTGTATCAGATTTTGAACTAATTTTTATTAGTCATATTGATTATAAACTGTCTTTATTATTCAAAAATTTAAAGTAACCGATAAAGTAGTTTTATTTATTTGCTATTTTTATTTTACGGGGTCCGGCAAAAGTTCCCGACATTTATTAAGCATAAACTTTTATTAAGCATACAATATATTTCAAATATTTTCTTAAAATTTATAAAATCTATGAAAAAAGTGTTCATTAATATCAAAATTAAAGAAAAATCATAACAAATGTTGAAAATGTACTCCCTCCGCCAAGATATACGCGTTCACACGCTTACTGAAACACCATCTAAATTTTTATCTTATCTTTCGACGTTAGCGAAGCTAATAATTAATATTGAAGATTAAGTATGATGTTTATGAACATATTTTTTGCTTAGATTGAGATCTAGATTTTCTTATTTTGAGAAATTTCACAGACTTAGCGGATGATAGATTCTAAATTGCAGTCTTGGTACTTAAGCTAACAAGTATGTTTTGTGACAAATAAAGGAAATATGTTGTTTACCTCAAAAAGTAATCCCAAAATTCAGGGAAATGACAAGAAACTTCTAACTTATACCTATACATTAAATATTTATTTTTTAAACTTTGAAAACAAAACTGATACTACATACATATGTTATAATACATACCCACATATGCTTAATCTTTTATCGCAATAAATATTAAATAAACTTGGGTTCTCCTTAGTCAATTAGAATAATAATTTTAAAATTATGAAAATATTTTGTCAAATAAAATTTAAAAAATAAATCTAAATTTATCTTCTACTTTTAAAAAATATAATAACAAATATTACAGCACGATTCATGGTTATATGCAAAGGCTATTTTAATGGAAAATTTTTGTTAATTTGCTTCTATCAAATATTTTTAAATCTTTTCAATTCCCAAATGTTTATGTTTTAAATATATCAGCCATTTTTCGTTTTCTATTCTTTATTTTTAGATTTTTGATCATTTGTTTGTTTGCGATCGTAGCCTAGAAAAAAATGTTTACTGATAATTATACGCTAAGCCCCCTTTCTATAATATTCTCTCATTTTCTTATTTTTTTAAAAGTTCTGACATTGAAAAAACCAAATTAGCAATAACTCTTAGTAAAAGTTTTAAGTTTTTTATTTATTGATATAGCTATAAATCTAGTATTTTGGATAATTATAAAGTTTGTGCACAGCCCTTAATGTATTATTAAAATATTTGGTTACCTTCAAGAAAATGCTGCCCATGCTTTTCATCAAGAAATAATGTCTCGAATGGAGTATCCATTCCAAGTTTTAATTCATCAAGATTCGTTCGCTTTTTTTGCTCTTAAAATTAAAATCTATTTTATTTAACTAAAGATGATGTTCATTTAAAACTTAAGAAATAGATTTTTTTCAGTATTTATACTAATTAAATGACTCCTATATTCGAATTGCATCTCAAGAATTAATTATGCGTATTCATTATTAACATGGTGCTCCTTTTGCCTCTTTTTAAATGGGTTTCCCACTTTTTGACCACTTCCTTTTTCTCCCCTTTTTCAACATTGCTCATTTTTAAGAGGCCATGACCCTTTTTGGTGATTTGTGAAGGACAACTCTGATTATTAATGGTCAAGTTACCTTTAAGAAAGTGCTGTCCACTTTTCTGATCAGGAAATAATTGATCAAATGTAATATCCTCTCCAGGATTAAATTGGTAATGAAATGTTCGCTTTTTCTGATCTTAATATTAAAAATCATTTTATTCAACTAACAGTAATTTTTATTAATGTAAGAGTTTGAAGTCTACTGGCTTTTTATTCGTTTAGACTGTTCTCCTTCTTGCTTATTTGAAGCACCAACATTATCCGCATAATTATTCATGCCTTCAGATAGCCCGTCTAATATGCAAATAAATAGAAAAATTTCATATTTTTTCAAGTTCATCCTTAATTTTAAAAATTTATATTGAATAAACTAGAGTTCCTCAGGAGTCAAGAGTGTCGGGGATCTGGGGTTTGTCGGGGAGGGCATATCTGGACTAAGTCTTCGATGTTCGGTTCATTATTTTTGCCACAAATACTTGTGTTTGGTCTTTCGGTGGGTGGTAGGCATGCTACCCTAAACTAAAAGTCTCATGACTAAAGACAGTCAAACATTATAGCAAATAAATGATTAATTACCAAGCAAATCAAATAATTAAATTTTTAGACAAGGGGGTATATTAATATAAAGGGGTTCGGTGGCAGTGACGAAGGTTGAACCAGAATGGACTTTGGTAATTGAACTTGACTTCGAATTTACAACAGTAATGTTTTAAGCAAAGCCCGGCATCTATGTCGCATATGTAGCTTAGATTATTGCCAGCCGCTAAACTTTTGCTTAACTCTTACTGTATTTTTCTAATAAAATTCAAAATAAAAACTTTAAAATAAAGAGAATATAAACAGAATTTTGAAAATAAATAGTTTAGACTTTCAAAATAAAATTTTTTATAAGAGAATTCTTAAATGCAAGTCTTTATGCCGTGTTTACATCTTGCGTTTTGCAGCAAAAAGTAGCCTTGAAAATTTAAGAGAGAGATGAGAGAAAAGAGAGAGATGAGAGAGAAATGAGAGAGATGAGAGAAAAAAAGAGAAATTAGACGCGATTTTGTCTCTCCTTTTTTATTAGAGAGAGTGAGAGAAATTAGACGCGAATTTGTCTCTCCTTTTTTATGAGAGAGAGAGAGAGAGAGAGAGAAATTAGACGCGAATTTGTCTGTCCTTTTTTATGAGAGAGAGAGAAATTAGACGCAATTTTGTCTCTCCTTTTTTATGAGAGAGAGAGAGAGAAATGTGACGCGATTTTGTCTCTCCTTTTTTATGAGAGAGAGAGAGAGAGAGAGAAATAAGACGCGAATTTGTCTGTCCTTTTTTATGAGAGAGAGAGAAATTAGACGCGAATTTGTCTGTCCTTTTTTATGAGAGAGAGAGAGAAATTAGACGCGAATTTGTCTGTCCTTTTTTATGAGAGAGAGAGAAATTAGACGCGAATTTGTCTGTCCTTTTTTATGAGAGAGAGAGAGAAATTAGACGCGAATTTGTCTGTCCTTTTTTATGAGAGAGAGAGAAATTAGACGCGAATTTGTCTGTCCTTTTTTATGAGAGAGAGAGAAATTAGACGCGAATTTGTCTGTCCTTTTTTATGAGAGAGAGAGAAATTAGACGCGAATTTGTCTGTCCTTTTTTATGAGAGAGAGAGAGAAATTAGACGCGAATTTGTCTGTCCTTTTTTATGAGAGAGAGAGAGAAATTAGACGCGAATTTGTCTGTCCTTTTTTATGAGAGAGAGAGAGAAATTAGACGCGAATTTGTCTGTCCTTTTTTATGAGAGAGAGAGAAATTAGACGCAATTTTGTCTCTCCTTTTTTATGAGAGAGAGAGAGAGAAATGTGACGCGATTTTGTCTCTCCTTTTTTATGAGAGAGAGAGAGAGAGAGAGAGAGAAATTAGACGCGAATTTGTCTGTCCTTTTTTAAATGCTATTTTTGCCATAAAACGCAAGACGCTTTTTATGTAAACACGGCATTAGACATAGATGCGTGCGTTCCCTGAATTCGGTAATTTTATTTTGAAATATGTACTTTTCTATATTCTTAACTGTTTTCGCTATTATATACACTAACGAGAGCGTTTTTCAAAGGTAACCGCGCAATTAGGTAAACAACCTTCCGACATAGTTGCCCTTATACATAGGCTTTGTAGGATGCCGCTTTACAGTACAGGATGCCTGCCATTTTCACGTGGAATAAATAATAAATTTAAAAATAAATAATTAAAATTTAAAATAAAATTATCTAGAGTTGGTTAATCTCCCAAAGCGGAAGGATGAGCCCCAACGGTGGCGGGACGAGCGCCGAAGGCGAGGGCGACGAGGGCCAAAGTGCAAAAATGTTCCCAAATATGAGTGGACGAGGGCCGAAGTCCCGAAGTGACTCAAGTGGAAGGATGAGTCCCTAGTGGGTGACGAGGTTCGGAGACCCGAAGTTGTTTAACTGCTTATTTTAAATGCTATTTTTGCCGTAAAACGCAAGACGACTTTATGTAAACACGGCATTAGACATAGATGCGTGCGTTCCCTGAATTCGATAATTTTATTTAGACAGACTGTATTTTTCTATATTCTTAACTGTTTTTCGCTATTATATACACCAACGAGAGCGTTTTTCAAAGGTAACCGCGCAATTAAGTAAACAACCTTCCGACATAGTTGCCCTTATACATAGGCTTTGTAGGATGCGCTTTACAGGATGCTGCCATTTTCACGTGGAATAAATAAAAATAAATTTAAAAATAAATAATTAAAATTTAAAATAAAAATTTACTAGAGTTGGTTAATCTCCCAAAGCGGAAGGATGAGCCCCAACGGTGGCGGGACGAGCGCCGGAGGCGAGGGCGACGAGTGCCATAGTGCAAAAATGTGTCCCAAAAGTGGGGGGACGAGGGCCGAAAGCCCGAAGTGAGTGGTTACCCCCCCCCCCCCCCCCCCCAAATGTCTCACCTACTTTACGCGAATATTATTTTCTATGTAAAGTTAAGCACAAAAAGATAATATTGATGTAAACTTAAGGATTAGAAGAGAGAATTAATGTAAAGTTAAGCAATAGAAGAAACAATTGATGTGATGTTAAGGGATGGAAGATGTAGATTTTGGGGGTAAAATTGCAAAGTTAAGTACTAAAAGATATTACTGATGTAAAGTTAGGGATTAGAATGTAAAATTACCTTAAAGTTAAGAGTTTGAAGATAAAATGTGTGAAAAGTTAAGGATAGAAAGATAATATTCGCGAGGTGAGACATTTTGGGGGGGGGTGTAACTACTGAAGTGACTCAAGTGAAAGGATGAGTCCCGTGTGGGGGACGAGGGCCAGAGACCCGAAGTTGTCTAAATGCTTATTTTAAGCATTTAGACAACTTCGGTTTTTTATGTATACACGGCATTAGACATTATGCGTGTGACTTCAAATTCGATAATTCTAATTAGACAGAATGTATTTTTCTATATTCTTAACAGTTTTGGCTGTTTTATACCCAACGAGAGCGTTTCTTCTTTAAAAATAACCGCGCAATTAAGTAAACAACATTGCGAGCATAGCTGCACTTATAGCAAAGGATGCCTGCCAATTTCACGTGCAATAAATAAAAATAAATTTAAAAATAAATAATTAAAATTTAAAATAAAAATTTACTAGAGTTATTTTTGCAGAAATTTGACATAATTTCGGATATTATATAGCTAAATATTAAAGATATTTAATTAAAAACCAGCCATGGGTTTAGTGACAGCAATGCATACATATGAAGATTACCATTTAGTTACGTTGGGGAGTATTTAGTAGCATTTTGCAATCACGACATGGACGCGCATTGAAAGCCTGTGGCTTTAAAACTGTGCTAGGTTTATTTTTTGCTTGGAGATCTATGTTAAATGTGTTTAGATTAATTTGTAGCTTTTTTGTGAATTTTGGGAAATATATACTTTTTTCGGAGGTTACCTTTAGTCTGTAGAAGTAGGGACTAAAATCCTCTTGGATGGGCTTGGCTTCCGAACTTTGGCCCTCGTCCTTCCTTTTTAGTTGGAAGCGCGTCGGGCTATGCCCTTCATTATTGATGGGCCGTGTTGGGTCTTCGGCCCTCGTCCTTCCTTTTTAGATGGAAGCGCGTCGGGCAATGCCCTTCATTAGTGATGGGCCGCGTTGGGGGGCCGCGTAGCTGTTTTATTCTATTTTATATCCAACGAGAGCGTTTCTTCTTTAAAAATAACCGCGCAATTAAGTAAACAACATTGCGAGCATATGCACTTATACATAGCATATGATGCCTGCTTTACAAAATGCCTGCTATTTTCACGTGAATAGATAAGAATTGATTTAAAAATAAATAATTAAAATTTAAAATAAAATTTTCTGAAGTTATTTTTCTTTTTTTTCTGGAGAAATTTTTTAAACGAAGAAAATTATAAAAATTTATATATAATAAACATTATAAAAGTAAATCTCCTCCAAGTTGGCATTCTTGTGCGCGGTTTAATTTGTCCATTTAGTCTAATAAAATTTGGTTCTAGATTGAGTAAAGCAGCTGGGCTATAGCTATTTCTCTCCTTTAGCTAGTGCAAAAGGTTAATTGGCAGCTGGGAGCGAGCCAGCATCTTCAATAGACCGGAATGATGTGTTATCCAGTAACCACGCCGCCTATTGTACACCTTAGGAATTAAATAACTATATGCTTTACAATAGCGACAGGAAACAAAAATATTTATTTTAATTAAAATTTATTTTTACTTACAGTAAATTTATTCTTACTTACAGTCCGAAAATCGCCGGCTCCGGAGCCGGAGCTGGAGCCAAGATTTTAAAGGTCGGAGCCCGGAGCCGGAGCCAAGATTTTGAAACCCCGGAGCCCGGAGCCAACAAATGGCAAATACCCAGCACTGATTGCAAGGTTAGAGCATCTAATGCCTTAACAGGCATCTTAATTGCGCAATTTTGCTTGTAAAATAAACGCGAAGTTGGGAATAAAATAGTAAAAATATTTAAGACTAGAGAAAAATAAAAATTACCAAAAAAAGGCAATAATTTTCATAGCAAATTTTTAAAATTTAGAGGCCCTTTCCTTATAAGCGAGTAATCTATATACGCGCGCAGCTTTATATTTTTAAATAGACAGGGCAAGCATTTTAATTCATTTACCCTCTTCTTTTTATTAAAAATTGTCTTTATTAGCTTTAAAAAATTTTTTTTAACTTTAAATTTTTATATTAATTAAAATTATTTATAAGTTTTTAAAATAATCCCCCTTTTTGCCCACTTTTTGAGAGGCCATGCCCCCTTTTGGCGATTTGGAAATGGCCACCCTGAACATAATTGTTGTGTCCGCACTCGCAAAGGAATATAAATAAAAATAAAAACCCAGCATAGGGTTGGGCACAGTCGGTTGTGCTTCGATTTGGGCTCATTCCATGATGGTTCAATTCCATCCCCCATCCAATGAATTTTTCCACGGCAAGAATTCTCGCCTTAACGAAGGCGGAAAAACTCATTACTGCAAGGTCCCTAGCATTATTGCAAGACTCTTGCCTTTCTTATATTAATTACGATTAAACAAATGTTTTTAAAAATGTTAAAATTTTCACTAAATTATTTTTTATTTTCCTTAAATTAAAGGTAATTCTGAAATGTCCAAGTTTGCAATTTTTCTGTTCTCTATTTTAATTTTTTTGGAGATAATAGAATGTGCGAATGATAAAGGAAAAGGTATCGCTGGGGAAGAATCTTCCGGACAAGAAGGAGGAGCAAGTAGTCACCGTCGTAGAGGAGGAAGTCGAAGAAGTCAAGCACATATACCAACCCGTGAAAGTGAACCAACCCAAAACTGGAATGAGGAACACGAAGAGGGACCAACAGAGGGCCATGCCCCAAATCTTGACGATGAAATTCAAAATCAACATGAACTTCTTATGCAAGAAAGGTTAATGCATATACAACAGCAAACTGAGATGATAAATCAGCTCCAAAATGCAACTGAACAGTTAAATCTTCCTCAAGAGCTTCGCAGAAATCTACGTATTAAACCAGAAAAGTTAATGCATGATTTACAAAAGAAAAATAAAAAAATAGCTAAGCTCCAAAATGAAAGGGAAAAGATTTTAAAGAAAAAAGAAAATGCTATATATGATCAAGGCAGAGAGGACTATCTCGATACATTTGAATTTTCAAACGAAATGCGTAAGATTGCAAAGGAAAACAATAAAGATTTGAAGAAATTTTCGAAGGAGAAGATGGCTGAAGTTCAAAATTATTTATACGGTAAATAAATTTTCTGGAAATAAAATTGGCGAGTTTTATGGAGGAAACAAAAATCGTGATAAACTTCTATAATAGGGCTGGATTTTCTTCCACTTCCGCCTTCCGCTTTTTAAAATTCAAAATTATCCAGCTTTGTTACATAATATATTTTATTTATTTTGATGGTAATACATAAATGTTCGACTAACTTAAGTCACGCTTACTTGAGGAATCTCTCGGCACTTGTAATCATGTGACTTTATTTTCAGCGAAAAAATATATTTTGACAAATTTATTATCCAGTCAGTATGGAAAAGTAAACAAATAATAAATATATTTAATTTTAGGACACGCTGCTGAGGATGATGTCGTTCATGATGTTAATCCGGTTCATTATAGATTGGAAGGTGGAGAACCTCAACCCTATATGGCTGGTCAACAGATACAGCATCATCTGCTTCCAACTGGTTTTGACCCGACTACTCAATATACTGGATATCCTCATCAACAAGGTTGGCCTTTAAAGGATTTAGAGATTGCCTTGTAATAGGAGGGGTCGTGAGCTGTTAAATATCATGAGATGAGTAATGGCATAAAAATCAGTCAGAAAATTCAAGAAAAGTCGAGATAAAAAAGCTAAAAGACTCGTGCCCTAAAAGACTAAAATACTAAAAGACTCGTGCCCTTTATATTCTCACATTGCGTTGTTTCAAAATCGAAAGTAACTAGACGGGCAAATGTAAGCCCATTTAATTTACGCAATTTACAGCATAGCAATGCTGGTCTAGCATTGTAAGATTTCAGCATATTTGAATTTTTAATCCCAAAAATTAGCTTGACCCTCCTATGTTTTCGTTTTCAGAGACTAATATCTGGTAAAAAGGCCAAATTTCCGTAATACCGAAACCAATAATTTTAAAATATATCTGCCGTCGGCGCGAAAGGATAATTTTTAAATATTTTTACAATTAGAATTTTGATGGATTATCTATAAAGTTTCTGAAAGAATATGAGTGTATTAAGTGAATATTTATTTAAGGGCATCAGATGTCGTATACTGATTTGTTAAATCAACAAATTGCTCAAGCAGATCCTATGCCACAAAATTTTCAAATCATACCTCATCCTTCAAGTTCACTTTTATATTTATCTTTATTCAAACATTAATGTAAATTATTTGAGATATGTACAAAAGTCGTCTTTTGACTTATAGATCATTCTAAAGTGAATGTCAAAAAATTAGTCATATTTTAGTTATTTTAACCGTGGCGCGAACTTTGCGGACCCGAAATTTGCGGAACGAAAGTTCCGGACTCGAAATTTGCGGACCTATTTTTTGCGGACCAAAATTTTTGGGACCGACACTTGTGTAAAAAAGAAAAACTTAAAAATTTTACTTTATAAATTTATACTAAGGTGTTCAATCATTTAACGCATGGATAAATCCACAAGAACAAGGAGCATCTTCTGCAATCCCAGGTAAATCCAAAATTTCTAGCTACTTATTAAGCAATTCTCATTTCTTGCAGTAAATACTTAATATACATAAATATAAATAAGTTTTTTGAAATTGTTTAAATAATGTAAGGCAGATTGTATTTATTTCATAAAGCTATACAGTAGGCGGTGTGGTCTAATGAATAAAACATCGTTTCGTTCAGTCAACTTGACATGCTGGTTCACACACAGCTGCCAGATAACCTCTTGCACTAGCTGAAGTAGAGAAATAGCTATAACCCAGCTCTGCTTTACTAAAATTAAAATTTTTTAACAAGAATTTTAATTTATTTCATTATAGAAGGAAGTCATGCTACTGGACATGGACATACTGTACAAGGAGGCCGAGTTGGCGGAGACGGGCAACGTGGCCGTGGTAATCGTGGACGTGGTAATCGTGGCCGTGGTAATCGTGGACGTGGTAATCGTGGACGTGGTTGGTTTTTAATTTATTTAATTATTTATTTAAATTAACTAGCTGAAAGGTGAGTAGCTGGATGTATATCAGGACACTGGCGGTTAGGTTACGCTGGGGGAACGTTTGGTTCTGCGGCGCTTTGGGGATGCGTCAAGGGACGCGCGTGGAAAGCCTGTGACTTTAAAAGCACGCTAGAATGGTTTTTTTCTTGGCAATTTACGTTCGATGCGTTTAGATTCATTGGCTTTGCAATTTGAGGGCCTCAGGCCCACTTTTCGTTATGCGTTTGTGGGACTTCGGCCCACAAACGCATCGTTTAGGGACTGTGCCTTTTGGAAACTGTGGTGTATTTGGCAACTGTGGTGGGTTGTCCGGCCGCCCGGGATATATTAATTTTGATACTTAAATATGTTTCTTTTTTTATATGTAAAACTTATCTGAGTTTCCCCTCTTCTCTAAAATTAGTTTTTATAATGGTTAATTATTAACATTGTAGATTCAACTGTTAACCGTTCACAAAATGTTATTGTTATTTCTGATGATGAAGGAAATAATGAGGATCATTGAGAAATTGAAGGCTGAAGATGAAGTTGATAAACACAAAATTGACTAAACAAACGAAGAGAAATGTATATACGTAAAGCATTTTGCTACATGTAGTTTAGACGAAAATTCATTTCAGTAGAATTTACAGATATAGAAGAAACATTAAATACATTTAGGTATTTACTTGTTTATTCTGTGATTTATTACAACATACAATTTATTTAACGATAAATTTGTTAGATTTACTCTTTTTAATATTAATTTGGTAATATGAAAAATCGGGAATCATTAAATCGGCTATAGCTTTCTAATGAATGCAACTATATTTTCATTAGTAGTAAGAGAGATTTGGATACTATCTCATTATAATCTCACATGTCCGCAAATGATTGTCTGCAAAAGTTTCTCCTTTTTTCTCTGCTCTCATAAAGATGAAAAAAATGTTTCAGAGACTGAATCACTTATATTTCTTTACAAATCTTTTCAAAAAATTTTGCTTTCTTGTCTGAACAGAAATTCCGCAAAGGATCTTCCCAAATTTTGTGTCGGCATGTCTGAAATAACATAATAATTTTCAAAACTGCACTGAACCGAAGAACCAAGGTTTACTAATTACATTGGCTGTAATATATAATATATCCTTCACTAGCCATATTGTCTTCATTCTTATATTTTTTACAAATAAAACTAATAGTCTTCATCCTTATTTTTTCAATAGAAATTAAAAGTCTTCATTTTATGTTTTTAAAGAAAAATTAAAAACAATCTTCACTTTATTTTTCCAATGAAAAATTACAAACATCACTTTCACTTTTTATAATATTTTTAATCGTCCAATATTCAATTAAATTTTTATTGCTTTTTAAATTATTTTTATTTAATTATATTTTTTGAATAAATTATTTTGGAAAATATAATTGAATAAGATTCTTATAATCTTTTCAAAGGAAGAAGAGGTTAATCAAAAGAAGATAAAATAAGATTCTTTTGACACTGTATAGAAGAGGTCCTAAATATATTAATGGTAATGAACCAATCTTAGAAAAATAACCAATCTATTAGTTCACCGATGAGGTTTATTAACCAACAAACAATCTCACATTTAAACACAACCTATACGACGCTTTCATTTTTGATCTGCTAGGCTAGGCGGTAAACCCGCCAGACTTAAATAAACTCAAACATTTTAAAAATATTCTAAAAATCTTTATACTACTGTTTTTTTATAAATAGATAATTTTGTTTAGTTTGTTTCACTGGAGTTAAATAAATTGTTTTTTAGATATGGGAAAGGAAAAAGAATTAATAATTTTTGAAAGCTTTTAAAGTTAACAAAGAACCCCCTATAATCTTTTCTTCTCTTCTTTAAATGTCCTAGACATTTCTTACTCTTCATCTGATTCATTTTTTTCTTCAGAAATGGTCTCTTCTTTGGCAGGAATGACGGTATTTGAAATTCTCGAATTTTTGGAGTCTTCAAAATATATAAATTTTTAAATAAAAGTTCAAAATCAAAACCTATTCGTTGTGTAGTAGCTGGAGCTCTTGGCGGTAATCCATATTCATTACTAGCATTTCTGCCAGGTGAATAGCTGGCTCTAAAACTCGACATACGCTCAAATGTTGGCTCTTAAATTTTAGAAATCTTTACCGTTAGTTTATTTTAAAATAAAAATACGGAGTATCTAAATTATTGAATGAATTTAAGCTAATTATTTATGTAGTGCCTAAAGTAAAAATATCAGGAAAAAGGGCCAGGCTGAACCAAGAACCTGACCAGAAAGCTGACGCATTTCATACCTTTAGATATGGGGTTATTTGATGATGTAAGGATGATTTACATAGCATCATTTAAACGTTTAGGAAGTGGTTAACTGAGCATAAGGAGAAAAGAGAAGAAGCATTACCGTATTTACTCAATTAATTCCTCTCACTTGAATAATTCCCCTCTATCGAATAATTCCCCCTGCTACGGATGAGTTGAAAAATAATTTCCCAAGGGAATTAATCGAGTAAATACGGTAATTATCGCCCCGTGAATCCGCCCGGTGCTACAATTTTGCAAAACTCTTACCACGATAATCTATTAAAAACTTTTGTATATTTCGTTATAATAGACAGTGACGGCATATGCTTTTCCAAGCAGCCCGTAATTCAAAATTTTATATAAATTTTGACTAATAAATGCTTACTTTCTTTCCCCTTCCCTTTTCCTTGAATCTCTGGCTTTTCCTTAACTCTCATTGGAATTCCTCCTTCATCAAATTCTATTCCTTTTCCTTTGTCTTGACCTGCAGCCATTCGTTTTCGATATTCTTCCGTAAAATTAGGTGGCAAATCAGATGATTTATGTTTTACTCGCATATTTCCAATATTTAGTTGCTCGCCAGCTATTCCATGCCCAACCATTCTTTGCTCAGCCCTTCCTTGTTCGGGCATTCCTTCTCCTGCGCTAGATGGTCCTTGGCCACCCGTTATGCGCCCACGTCCTCTGCCTCTTGGGCGTCCCGCGCTCTCTTCTACTTTTCGTGGGGAAGAAGGTTCTTCACCAGCTTTTCCTTTAACTTT